GGTCTCGGTCTCCTTGGTCTCGGTCTCGGTTTCAGTCTCGGTCTCGGTCTCGGTCTCGGTCTCGGTCTCGATCTCGGTCTCGGTCTCGGTCTCGGTCTCCTCGGTCTCGGTCTCGGTCTCCTCGGTCTCGGTCTCGGTCTCGTCTCCTCGGTCTCGGTCTCGGTCTCCTCGGTCTCCTCGGTCTCGGTCTCGGTCTCTTCTCGGTCTTGGTCTCCTCGGTCTCGGTCTCGGTCTCCTCGGTCTCGGTCTCCTCGGTCTCGGTCTCGGTCTCCTCGGTTTTGGTCTCGGTCTCGGTCTCGGTCTCGGTCTCCTCGGTCTCGGTCTCGGTCTCGGTCTCGGTCTTCTCGGTCTCGGTCTCGGTCTCGGTCTCCTCGGTCTTGGTCTCGGTCTCGGTCTCCTCGGTCTTGGTCTCGGTCTCCTCGGTCTCCTCGGTCTCCTCGGTCTTGGTCTTGGTCTTGGTCTTGTCTCGGTCTCGGTCTCCTCGGACTCGGTCTTGGTCTTGTCTCCTCGGTCTTGGTCTCGGTCTCGGTCTCGGTCTTGGTCTCGGTCTCCTCGGTCTCGGTCTTGGTCTCGGTCTCCTCGGTCTCGGTCGTGGTCTCGGTCTCCTCGGTCTCGGTCTTGGTCTCGGTCTCCTCGGTCTCCTCGGTCTCGGTCTTGGTCTCGGTCTCCTCGGTCTCGGTCTTGGTCTCGGTCTCCTCGGTCTCGGTCTTGGTCTCGGTCTCCTCGGCCTCGGTCTTGGTCTCGGTCTCCTCGGTCTTGGTCTTGGTCTTGGTCTCGGTCTCGGTCTCGGTCTCCTCGGTCTCGGTCTTGATCTTGGTCTCCTCGGTCTCGGTCTTGATCTCGGTCTCCTCGATCTCCTCGATCTTGGTCTCGGTCTCGGTATTGGTCTCGGTCTCCTCGGTCTTGGTCTCGGTTTCGGTCTCCTCGGTCTTGGTCTTGGTCTTGGTCTCGGTCTCGGTCTTGGTCTCGGTCTCCTCGGTCTTGGTCTTGGTCTCGGTCTTGGTCTCGGTCTTGGTCTCGGTCTTGGTCTCGGTCTTGGTTTCGGTCTTGGTCTCGGTCTTGGTCTCGGTCTTGGTCTCGGTCTTGGTCTCGGTCTCCTCGGTCTTGGTCCCGGTTTTGGTCTCCACGGTCTTGGTCTTGGTCTCGGTCTCCTCGGTCTCGGTCTTGGTCTCGGTCTCCTCGGTCTCGGTCTTGGTCTCGGTCTCCTAGGTCTCGGTCTTGGTCTCGGTCTCTTCGGTCTTGGTCTCGATTTCGGTCTCCTCGGTCTCGGTCTTGATCTCGGTCTCCTCGATCTCCTCGATCTTGGTCTCGGTCTCGGTCTCCTCGGTCTCGGTCTTGGTCTCGGTCTTGGTCTCGGTCTCCTCGGTCTTGGTCTCGGTTTCGGTCTCCTCGGTCTTGGTCTCGGTCTCGGTCTCGGTCTCGGTCTCGGTCTCGGTCTCGGTCTCGGTCTCGGTCTCGGTCTCGGTCTTGGTCTTGGTCTTGGTCTTGTATCCTTTCTCAAACATTTCGATATGTGTATTCTAACATTATGTTTTTTTTTTATTTCAGGTTCAATTCTCCACTACTGAACCCACTGCTCTCATCAGGCCAACCGACTTTATCGACTCTAGTCAATCAAACGTAAGTAAGCTCATATCAAGTATCTATCAGGCTGTATGTATCCTTTCACAAACATTTTAAAAGACGTTTTCTAACCTTTTGTTTTTTTATTGCAGGTTCAATTCTCCACTAATGAACCAACTGCTATCATCAACCCAACAGACTTTATCGACTCTAGTCAATCAAACGGTAAGTCTCCGCGGTCTCGGTCTTGGTCTTGGTCTTGGTCTCGGCCTCGGTCTCCTCGCTCTCGGTCTTGGTCTCGGTCTCGGTCTCGGTTTCCTCGGTCTTGGTCTCGGTCTCGGTCTCGGTCTCGGTTTCCTCGGTCTTGGTCTCGGTCTCGGTCTCCTCGGTCTTGGTCTTGGTCTCGGTCTTGGTCTCGGTCTTGGTCTCGGTCTTGGTCTCGGTCTTGGTCTCGGTCTCGGTCTTGGTCTTGGTCTTGGTCTCGGTCTCCTTGGTCTCGGTCTCGTCTCGGTCTCGGTCTCCTCGGTCTCGGTCTTGGTCTCGGTCTCGGTCTCTCTCGGTCTCGGTCTTGGTCTCGGTCTTGGTCTTGGTCTCGGTCTCGGTCTCCTCGGTCTCGGTCTCCTCGGTCTCGGTCTCCTCGGTCTCGGTCTCCTCGGTCTCGGTCTCCTCGGTCTCGGTCTCCTCGGTCTCGGTCTTGGTCTCCTCGGTCTCGGGGTCCTCGGTCTCGGTCTTAATCTCGGTCTCGGTCTCGGTCTGCTCGGTCTCGGAGTCCTCGGTCTTGGTCTTGGTCTCGGTCTCGGTCTCGGTCTCCTCGGTCTCGTCTCGGTCTCCTCGGTCTCCTCGGTCTTGGTCTCGGTCTCGGTCTCCTCGGTCTTCTTGGTCTTGGTCTCAGTCTCGGTCTCGGTCTCCTCGGTCTTGTTCTTGGTCTCGGTCTTGGTCGGTCTTGGTCTCGGTCTTGGTCTCGGTCTTGGTCTCGGTCTCCTCGGTCTTGGTCTTGGTCTTGGTCTCTTCGGTTCTCGGTCTTGATCTTGGTCTCGGTCTTGGTCTCGATCTCCTCGGTCTCGGTCTTGGTCTAGGTCTCCTCGGTCTTGGTGTCGGTCTCGGTCTCCTCGGTCTTGGTCTTGGTCTCGGTTTCGGTCTCGGTCTCGGTCTCCTCGGTCTCGGTCTCCTCGGTCTCGGTCATGGTCTCGGTCTCCTCGGTCTTGGTCTCGGTTTCCGTCTCCTCGTTCTTGGTCTCGGTCTCGGTCTCGGTCTACTCGGTCTTGTCTTGGTCTTGGTCTTGGTCTTGGTCTTGGTCTCGGTCTTGGTCTTGGTCTCCTCGGTCTCGGTCTTGGTCTCGGTCTTGGTCTTGGTCTCGGTCTTGGTCTTGGTCTTGGTCTCGGTCTTGGTCTTGGTCTTGGTCTTGGTCTCGGTCTTGGTCTTGGTCTCGGTCTTGGTCTCGGTCTCCTCGGTCTTGGTCTTGGTCTCGGTCTTCCTCGGTCTCGGTATTGGTCTCGGTCTCGGTCTCGGTCTCGGTCTCGGTCTCGGTCTCGGTCTCTTCTGTCTTGGTCTTGGTCTCGGTCTTGGTCTCGGTCTTGGTCTCGGTCTCCTCGGTTCTTGGTCTCGGTCTCCTCGGTCTCGGTCTCAGTCTCCTCGGTCTCGGTCTCCTCGGTCTCGGTCTTGGTCTCGGTCTCGGTCTCGGTCTCCTCGGTCTCGGTCTTGGTCTCGCTCTCGGTCTCGGTCTCCTCGGTCTCGGTCTCGGTCTTCTCGGTCTCGGTCTCGGTCTCCTCAGTCTCGGTCTTGATCTCGGTCTCGGTCTTGATCTCGGTCTCGGTCTTGGTCTCGGTCTCGGTCTCGGTCTCGGTCTCGGTCTTGCTCTCGGTCTCGGTCTCGGTCTCCTCGGTCTTGGTCTCGGTCTCGGTCTACTCGGTCTTTGTCTTGGTCTTGGTCTTGGTCTTGGTCTTGGTCTCGGTCTCGGTCTTGGTGTCCTCGGTCTCGGTCTTGGTCTCGGTCTTGGTCTTGGTCTCGGTCTTGGTCTTGGTCTTGGTCTCGGTCTTGGTCTTGGTCTCGGTCTTGGTCTCGGTCTTGGTCTTGGTCTCGGTCTCAGTCTCCTCGGTCTCGGTCTCCTCGGTCTCGGTCTTGGTCTCGGTCTCGGTCTCGGTCTCCTCGGTCTCGGTCTTGGTCTCGCTCTCGGTCTCGGTCTCCTCGGTCTCGGTCTCGGTCTTCTCGGTCTCGGTCCCGGTCTCCTCGGTCTCGGTCTGATCTCGGTCTCGGTCTTGATCTCGGTCTCGGTCTTGGTCTCGGTCTCGGTCTCGGTCTCGGTCTCGGTCTTGCTCTCGTCTCGGTCTCGGTCTCGGTCTCGGTCTCCTCGGTCTCGGTCTTGGTCTCGGTCTCGGTCTCGGTCTCGGTCTTGGTCTCGGTCTCGGTCTTGGTCTCGGTCTCCTCGGTCTTGGTCTCGGTCTTGGTCTCGGTCTCGGTCTCCTCGGTCTCGGTCTCGGTCTCGGTCTTGGTCTCGGTCTCCTCGGTCTTGGTCTCGGTCTCGGTCTCGGTCTCGGTCTCGGTTTGCTCTCGGTCTCGGTCTCGGTCTCGGTCTCGGTCTCGGTCTCCTCGGTCTCGGTCTCCTCGGTCTCGGTCTTGGTCTCGGTCTTGGTCTCGGTCTCCTCGGTCTTAGTCTCGATCTCGGTCTCGGTCTCCTCGGTCTTGGTCTTGGTCTCGGTCTTGGTCTCGGTCTCGGTCTCGGTCTCGGTCTCCTCGGTCTCGGTCTCGGTCTCCTCGGTCTCGGTCTTGGTCTCGGTCTCCTCGGTCTTGGTCTCGGTCTCGGTCTCCTCGGTCTCGGTCTCCTCGGTCTCGGTCTTGGTCTCGGTCTTGGTCTCGGTCTTGGTCTCGGTCTTGGTCTCGGTCTCCTCGGTCTTAGTCTCGGTCTCGGTCTCCTCGGTCTTAGTCTCGGTCTCGGTCTCCTCGGTCTTGGTCTTGGTCTCGGTCTTGGTCTTGGTCTCCTCGGTCTTGGTCTTGGTCTCGGTCTCCTCGGTCTCCTCGGTCTTGGTCTTGGTCTCGGTCTTGGTCTCGGTCTCCTCGGTCTTGGTCTTGGTCTCGGTCTCCTCGGTCTCGGTCTTGGTCTATGTCTCCTCGGTCTTGGTCTAGGTCTCCTCGGTCTTGGTCTAGGTCTCCTCGGTCTTGGTCTCGGTCTTGGTCTAGGTCTCCTCGGTCTTGGTCTCGGTCTCGGTCTCCTCGGTCTTGTCTTGGTCTCGGTCTCGGTCTCCTCGGTCTTGGTCTTGGTCTTGGTCTCGGTCTCCTCGGTCTCGGTCTTTGTCTTGGTCTCGGTCTTGGTCTCGGTCTCGGTCTCGGTCTCGGTCTTGGTCTCGGTCTTGGTCTCGGTCTTGGTCTCGGTCTTGGTCTCGGTCTTGGTCTCGGTCTTGGTCTCGGTCTCCTCGGTCTTGGTCTCGGTCTCCTCGGTCTTGGTCTCGGTCTCCTCGGTCTTGGTCTTGTGCTCCTCGGTCTTGGTCTTGGTCTCGGTTTTGGTCTCGGTTTCGGTCTCCTCGGTCTTGGTCTCGGTCTCGGTCTTGGTCTCGGTCTTGGTCTCGGTCTTGGTCTCGGTCTCCTCGGTCTTGGTCTTGGTCTCGGTCTCCTCGGTCTCGGTCTTGGTCTTGGTCTCGGTCTTGGTCTCGATCTCCTCGGTCTCGGTCTTGGTCTCGGTCTTGGTCTAGGTCTCCTCGGTCTTGGTCTCGGTCTCGGTCTCCTCGGTCTTGGTCTTGGTCTCGGTCTCCTCGGTCTCGGTCTTGGTCTTGGTCTCGGTCTTGGTCTCGGTCTTCTCGGTCTCCTCGGTCTTGGTCTCGGTCTCGGTCTCCTCGGTCTTGGTCTTGGTCTCGGTCTCGGTCTCCTCGGTCTCGGTCTCCTCGGTCTCGGTCTCCTTGGTCTCGTCTCCTGGTCTCGGTCTTGGTCTCGGTCTCGGTCTCGGTCTCGGTCTCGGTCTCGGTCTCGGTCTTGGTCTTGGTCTTGGTCTCGGTCTCCTCGGTCTTGGTCTCGGTTTCGGTCTCCTCGGTCTTGGTCTCGGTCTCGGTCTCGTCTCCTCGGTCTTGGTCTTGGTCTCGGTCTCGGTCTCGGTCTCGGTCTCGGTCTCCTCGGTCTCGGTCTTGGTCTCGGTCTCGGTCTTGTCTCGGTCTCGGTCTCGGTCTCCTTGGTCTCGGTCTCCTTGGTCTCGGTCTCCTTGGTCTCGGTCTTGGTCTCGGTCTCGGTCTCCTCGGTCTCGGTCTCCTTGGTCTCGGTCTCCTTGGTCTCGGTCTTGGTCTCGGTCTCGGTCTCGGTCTCGGTCTCGGTCTTGGTCTCGGTCTTGGTCTCGGTCTCCTCGGTCTTGGTCTCGGTTTCGGTCTCCTCGGTCTTGGTCTCGGTCTCGGTCTCGGTCTCGGTCTCCTCGGTCTTGGTCTTGGTCTCGGTCTCGGTCTCGGTCTCGGTCTCGGTCTCCTCGGTCTCGGTCTTGGTCTCGGTCTCGGTCTTGTCTCGGTCTCGGTCTCGGTCTCGGTCTCGGTCTCGGTCTCGGTCTCCTCGGTCTTGGTCTCGGTCTCGGTCTCGGTCTCCTCGGTCTCGGTCTTGGGAACATAAACGCATTTGTTTCTTAATCAACCTAAACCTAGTTACTTACTTATTACCAACAATGTTTACTTAACAATGTAAAAACAGAAAATACACAACAAAAGAAAAGCATTGCAAGAGTAAGACTAAGAGCGAGAATAAGAACAATAAAACTAAAATTGAACACAAGTAATTAAAATACTCTACATATTATTTTAAAATTCGGGAATTGCTGACTGTTTTGAATTCGGCGGTCCCAACTCTATTAAACGCAAACATAAACCTAATTTTACTTTTATCTTAGTCTAACTATTCCTTTTACTATTAAACGGTGTACAGCAAGTGCGCTTCTCAATATAAAACCAAGAAGTGAGGCGTCGGAATGCTTGTTTCCCTGGTGTTCCTAAGCTCCAAACGATGCTAGATGCCCATAGCACCTTGCCTATCCAATAAAAGACCTGAAGCAGCATCGCGCCCGCTTATAATTTCAGAAGGAAATTACCATCAGCAATAAAAACCAAACAATACACAACGTCGCGCGACGCTTACTGATGGCGGAAGTTGTTGAGCGGGTATCGGGAGCGGATATCTGCTCAAAAACCTCACATTAGCGGCAGTATAATGTGGTAAAAAAAAGTACCGGCTCTAGCGTGAAATTCACAAAATTTTGAACATACATATA